TACGGCCCACTCATTCATCGATTCGTTCGTGCTACTCGAGCACAGCACATCATATGGAAGTCTAAAAGGTGGCTAACAGGGCCGAAAGATGCCTACCTCATCTTTTTGGTAAATGAGCATCTTCGACCTAACCACTTCCTACTCTGCCCGTATAATACCCGATCCGTGATACCATGATACAGCGGTAGAGATGTTAGGCCCCTGCGGTTTGAGAAAGCTTTTTCTTTTGTCCGAGACTTCTGAGACGGGAGTTATGGACATCAAGGCTCCTATCCCAATAGGAGGTGCTTGAGTGGGTGATAACAGGTATTCACTCCTTTCAGGATTTCACTAGCTGTTGGATGAGCAATACTGTCCCATTGAGGAAGTACCGTTTCCCCACCCCATATATCGAAGAATTCTAGACGGGAAGTGTGGTTTAGCCGCGGGATGAGTGGTTCTAGTGCCTGCCAAAACCATAGTAGATGGCGGCAATTTAGGCACCCCCAGGTTCTCCTTTAGGCTACCGTAATGCCGTATGATACATATACTCGGGTATAGTAACTGGGGGATGTCCACGGGATAACCTAAGCCACCCCAGGTCGGCGGCGACACCTCCCTGAAATATTCTCGTCTGGCAGTTCTGTTGTGTAAACTTTGGGTATATGCTCGTGGAGGGGTGGGTACGCTAGCCGCCTCCCTTAGTTTCATAGTAGGTTACTGTATTCCCGTCTTCTGAAAGTATCTATACGTGTATCATTTCGTAAAAAGCCCGACTGGGACTGAGGAAAGCTGGGGTGGGGAAAGGGCACGTTGGCTCCAGAATCACCAAAATTTAAGCAAACTCCGAGAAGTGATTAGGTGGAACCTCACTAGTGCTGATCTCGTTAAGTTGGAGGTCCCGAATGAGTGTTAGAAGATCACAGACAAATCAGCATGCTACGGGGGTCAGGAGGAATGTGGTGGAGCATGGTCGGTCGATTTTTGAGCTACTGGGTTCTCGGGAGGGGATTCTGTGGTTAGGGCTTTCCTTTGTTATTACGGGAATGTACAGGAATGTATGGAGGGATGTGGACATGTGGAGAAGCAGGGAGATAGGCGTGGTGATTAGTAGAAGTATCAGCACTGTTTGATGATGTTTTATTTGTACTGCACACCTGTCTCTGCCGACTAGTTAGTTTTGAGGGACGAAGTGAGCGAGAACAAAATTGTTTTACCATACTTCTCTTTTTTTTCTACAGTGTTGAAATTCCAAGCGGATCCCCACAGTATTACCGTCTGCCCCAGCCCTAGTTGTCTTCCCATCAACAAATCGGGGGATATCATACAAAATGATACGGTAGGACATGGCCTGGTACGGATGTAGGGATTGCTTCGTTAGTGAGACTTCCCCGGGTGCTTGATCTACCGTACTCGAGTATTCTGCGGTTCTTTTTTTTTTTGATATCCTAATTGATTGACGGGTGGGTGGACTAATTAGATGATATCGTACGCTCTACCATTATCACCGGGTTAGTCTACCGATATGCTAATCCGTACTTAATCCAAGCGCGCTCGTATAGAATACTGTAAAAAAAAAAAACATGTCGAAACTCCCTGATCTTGATTTCAAAAAAATCAAATATTTTTTTTGATAATCGAAAGATCCCGGATCAAGAGCTCCCACTCCATACGAACCACGTCTATAAACTACAAGAAGCTAGAATGTCAGCCCAGAATCCGTTTGTTTTTTGGATGATAGTAGATAGTAAAAAAAGAAGTGTCAAATGACTCCATTCAACATGTCAAGTGCAGTGCCTAGGGTACGTTGTGCGCTCTCGCATTTGTGGTTGTGCGATATAGGCTGGGTGTCCAAGACTTTCTGCTCATTGACGAGGCCTTAAAAACCCCTTTCCTCCTCTCCGGTCTCATCATACCTTATAACAATTGCACCCAATATACACATTACTTATTTACCGGACCGGCTCGATCCTGATCAGCTGATCGGCACTGGGGTATGGAAGCCAAGTCCACCATAAAGGATCGGTGGAGAAAAAGAGGATTTTTGGCATATATCTGTGCGCACTGGAGTCGCTCCCCTCCTCTAGTCTAAATTTGCATAGTAAGTTTAGATTACCGGTATTGGGGACCGATTACCAGCATTAACAGTTGTCAGACTAGGAGCGTATCGGTGTATGACCATATACCGTACGATACTCCGCCGTAGTGGGTGATATTTTGACTTGTTGGGGGAGACAGGACGCGCCCAATGTTGTCCTGAAGTGCTGGGTAGTTCCTCGTAGGTTAGTGATATTGTGGAGTGGAATTATCTGGACAAATCCCAAGTGCAGGGTGAGTACCATGGCCACACCATGCAAGCTCCGTCCAATAAAAGTACTCCGGCACGATACCACATACTTTACTGCTTATAGAGGGAAATACGGTAACGCGCTCGGTGGGGCGAGGCATGAAAGATCACGCAGTTTGGCATGCTGCTTAGTCAACTAAGATGAGCTATTATAAGTCGAGTATTCCAGTTCACGTGTGCAAGTGTATTATAGTCCGTGGAGACCGGATCGAGGCGAAGCACGCTAGGCCACTGGGGGTTCGGTCCCGGGAATCTCCTTGCTCTGGAAACAAAATACCCGAATTCCCAACGAACCAATACCCACAACTAAGTCGGAGTGACGGGACATGAAGGTGGAGGTTTAAACTTCTGGAGTGGGACTATTATTACGACCGGCACTCAGTTTTGGGTTGGAAATACGCTAGCAGTTACCGCTCGCACAGAACTGAAGAAAGAAAAAAGAAAAAAAATCAAGACAAGGATTTTTCCATTACTCTTAACATCCGCTCAAGCACACTCTGTCACAAATATACTAGAACATGCTTTCCACAATCTTAAAGGCTTAGAGCTTACCTGGAACCCTAAGCCTTTCTTCCCCCCATCATTCACTCTATCATGCGTCAAAAACCAGCTGATCTCCCGATCAGAATCACTCGCAACTTACTGCCGCGTTAATCTTGGATAATCATGTTGAGCGATTATCAGTGCAAGCACGCCCATATAGCTCCTACTGTATTAACCCTAGCGTAAAATCTTCTCGTGCCGTTCCGCTAGGTCTAAGGTGGTGAGCTGTGCGTGCCTTAGTCATCTGCCGGCCGACCAGGGAAGTGAAGGGATTGAGTAGACTATCCTTTCAGGTGATTGGCCCCCGAGTCACTGATCAACCTCTCTGTCCGGATGTGGGACTTTACTCGAGTAAGTTAACTCCGACGCGTGCGCGCTCGGCGTCCGGCACCGGTACTTGCACATAAATTAAGTTCTGATGCCGATGAACAAAGAAGCGCACATTAATCCAAGTCCCCCCTGCCACTATGGTTATTGTTTGTGCGCAAGTCCACCTTCGCGAAATCTTGGATTCTGATGAAAAAGTCTCTTGTTAACCTATCCCAAACACTGACATGGGTGGCGCGAGGTTTTCAACGGCTCTTGCCGCCCCGGGAATAGCATCGTACTGCAATTGTTTGATTTTCCTGGGAGATCCGGTTTGCTCTGGGGACAACTTGGGGTTCTGTCCTTCCGGCGGTGGGGTACCGGTGGGTGACCGGGTGGGCTGGGTAAGGGTAGGGCTCGCACAGATGCCCGAGTTTGTCTACCCCCCACATCTGTTCTGCAAATTGGTTGCTCGGTTCTTGTGCTCTTCTCGCATGGCAGGGTTCCTCTTTTTCCGGCGTGGGTGGGTGGGTGTGTACGGACATGCGCTTATGCGCATTGCAGTTATGAGCGAGGTTTCCACATTACGTGGAGCTTGGGGCTTGGGATTGGGTCGTAACTGGCACTCGAGTAGAATGTATATAATATTCGGTACTCGAGCTCTGTGGGGAGGGGGATCTTTGTTTCATGCGATATCTCTTCTCCTATCGCCTGATCCTGCTTTGCTTCTCCTGACCGCTGCATTGCTTGGTGAAAGATTATTTGACCTGATAAGCATACTTGGGTGGGAGTATAGACTATGTATGCACCGTAACGCTCTTCGATCAAGATCGGTCCCATTTCAATAAAATTCAAGAGAGAGGGCAACCAGGATCCTGCTTTAAGATACCTGCGATGAGAGCTACACATTGGGCGCAGTACATGAGCAATATAGGGACCAACCGGTAAAAGAGGATTTAAGCTATTTCTCTCGTCGGGGATAAGTTGAAGCACCCATATCCACTGTCGGAATCGGAGACGAGCTCGAGGAACCGACAATTTAGTAAATGGCTAGACACACTAACTCGTTGGATAACAGACTGAATGCATGGATATAGCAGCGCTTTGCCAACAGCACCTCAACTTGCGAGAGATACCCAGAGGTGCGCGTGCCGGGATTTTGAAAAGGTCATTATTATTGATGGACGGCCGAGATCCATGAGCCCGGACGGCACTTGAGATACCGTGTCCTCTGATTCGGGAACCATTTCGAGCGTTTCTCACACGCCCGGAAGCCCTTACTTGACTTATCCGGTTACCAACCTAGCTGTAGCAATGAGGCACTGTACTCTATCATCTGCAGCCTCCTTGGTCCTGGGTGTCTGTGGCCGCACGGGATAGCGGCGGCACCATGAGGTTCCACCTTTTTTGCTATAGTTTCTATTGTGCCTTGAGGACAGGAAAAAAGGGAAGCAGTGGCGGGTATTGGCTGGATCGGGAGGTCCAGATGGTTTCCTGGAGGGAGAGAATTACCGCAGATGGGGCTTTGCGGTGGGAGGAGCTTCTGTTGCTCGTAAGGGATACATGGCTATTAAGGGAGCAAGGGGAGAGAAAAAACAAGAGTATCATAAAGTCCTCTTGTAAATCAAGCACCAGGTCTAGAGAGCCAATTTTCACTCCCCACTACAGGAAGAAAAAACTACTAGTATCAGAGAACATCTCTTCGAGATATAGAACAGTAACAGTGAATTGTACCCTCTATACCCAGAAAGCCTATCGAGCCTAAATATTACTACGACGAATCCGCCCTCCCCGTTCAACAGAACCACTTCAATTCCTCAAAAACATGAGCCTGAGTGCTCCCGCGAGGGACCTGATATACAACTTCATATCATCCCAGATAGAGCTCGAAAAACTCTCCCTGAACGCCCTGAACCAGTACATATACACGAATCCAGAACTCCGCCACGAGGAGCACAAAGCACACGACTTCTTAACCTCCATTTTGGAGAAGCTAGACTTTGTGGTTACCCGCCACGCGCATGGCTTAAAAACTGCATTTCGGGCAGAATTTTCGGCCAAGGGAGGGGGGAGGAATATTGCTGTGAATGCCGAGTACGATGCTTTGCCAGGGCTGGATAAGCATGCATGCGGGCATAGTAAGCCTTCCCCCTCGTCGGCCCTCACGCTGTAGGAATCACCACCGCAGGGTGAAAACGTACTAACAGTGAAGGTATGGCACCGGAATAGACCTGATAGCCACAGCAGCAGTTGCAACAGCCATCTCGGTCGCTGGTGCGCTAAAGCACTTCTCTCTCCCTGGGACTATAACCCTCCTAGGGACACCAGCGGAGGAAGGCGGTGGCGGGAAAATCACCATGCTGCAAAACCACGCATATGAAAACATAGATGCCTGCCTAATGACGCATCCTTCCCACCTCTCGCAGGTCTACTTCCGCTCCATTGCTGGGCTAACGGACCTATCCATAACCTACCAGGGCCGCAAGGCCCACTCTGGAATCGCGCCCTGGGACGGGGTCAACTCGCTTGATGCGATAACCTTGATGTGGGCTTCTGTCGGGCTGATGAGGCAGCAGCTCATGCCCACCGACCGTGTGAGTGGCGTGATCACGGACGGAGGTGCGGCGAATAATGTCTGCCCGGATTTTTCCAAGGGGAGTTTTGGCATCCGGGCCGAGAATGTGGGGAGATTGGAGGTCGTTAAGGAGAAGGTCCTGAACTGTGCCAGGGGGGCGGCGAAGGCGACAGGTTGTGAGTGTGGTGTTATTGATGATGGGTGGTTGTATGCTGATGTTAGGACTAATGATGTGATTGCGGGGAGATACGAGGCGCATTTAGAGATGTTGGGGCGCCCGTGGGTGGAGGGAAAGGATGAGCAGAAGAGGAATGTGTTTGGAGGTGGGACTGATATGGGGAATGTTTCTTATGTTGTGAGTTTTCCGGCTGCCTCCGTTTTGATGGTTAGCGAGGCCTAAGTAGGAGGGCTTGTACTACAGGTTCCATCTATACATCCCACCTTCGACATCGGATGCAAAGAAGGTTGCCACACAAACGAGTTTTACGAAGCCGCGGGGACATATCATGCTTTTGAGGAGTGCCTTCTAAGCGCCAAGGGGATGGCCTTTTCGGCCATTGATATCATGCTTGACGATGAGGTGTATGGTGATATGAAGGAAGAGTTTGAGGCTATGAAGAAGGATATTGGTGATTGCAAGGCCATATTTGGGAATACCGCCCTGAACAGTGCTTAGCAGTGATCATTAGACTCAAGTTGTGGATGCACGAGAGTGAATACTATACTATACTCATTGCTGGTCATAATTTATCACTCGCGTTCCAATAAAATTTTGTCTTGGAGGTTGATAGTGTCCCGTGGGCAAGCCCGTTTCTCCAAGATCGGCGGGGGTCTCGTTGGTTAGTGGTGACTCCGGGATCTGATGTGCGGTTCTACACCCTATACGATCTAACATGGCCTTTAAAATTTGCGGTCAGGTATCATACTTCACCAATACACAATAGAGTGAGGAAATGATGTATTTTCCCCTTTCCCCATATCTTATTCGTAACTCCCGCGGCGCTCATCGCATCACTTTTGCTATCCCACCAATCGCAAACCTCACCAGGGGCACAACACATAAACTACCGGTACTAGTTCAGGGTCGGATCCTACCGCTTCGAAGCAGGACCGATCAACGCCGGTGCCTTCGTAGCGAGTGCCAGAGCTTTAGCCTCCTAGATCCCCAGTGCTTGGGGCTTCTCAACTCTCCTATCCTACGCGATGGATGATATCCTCCAACGATAACTCACGTTGGGGTGTAACTGAACCCCCGGATCCGGGATAGCTGCGCTGGATGGATCAGCCCTCGGCACCCCAGGATCGGTTCGGCTGCCCGTCGGTCGTCCGTCGATCAATCCAAGAAGCGTTTTGGAGCTACTGCCCACCAAGCGATCGGCCCAATATGCCATCCGACATGCCCTAGCACTCATTAGTTCAGACCCCCGCTTACGAGTACTCGTAGCTCGCAACTTCTGTAAGGTAAACCCTTACAAAACACACCCCGCAATGATGCTACTGAAGGATTAGTATGATACCCACCCCGCATTCCAGAGAAACTTTTGTTTTACTGTAAAAGAAATAGGAAGGAAAGGAAAATAAAATAAAAATTGAAGGTTAAAAAGGGCCTGACGTTTTCAATATTTGCTTCCCTCGACATTAGAGCTCGACGGATCATGATGGTATCATATTACCATATGTATTTCTCTTATTCCGTTCCCACACTTTTTTGTTCCACAGTTATGTCATACCATTTAGGGGATAAATGGAAAAAATAAAAATAAAAATAAAATAAAAGAATACGATTCGTTATTATATTTCCAATCCTTTACAAAAGCCACCAGAGGTGTTTCGCGACATCTTGATTTATCAAGGGAGACTCGCAGACCTTTAAAAATTCGGTGAGGGAAACTGTATAAAATCTTGGGTGCAAGGTTTCGCCTTACAGAAATTGCGGGGCAGAGACAGTGCACCAATCCCGTGACACAGCGCGCAGGCCAGGAACGCGTTCCCAGTTCGGCTAACGACCCGGCCAACAACGAGCCAAACGGGTTCTTAGGTGCTCCACCGGGCGGACTTCCCGTCCGTGTATCCCTTGGGAAGAGCCGTTCCCGTTAGCCTCTCCCCCCAAGGGCAAAGGTGAATGTGTTATAATAGTATGCTTATCACAAGCCGCCCCTCAAAACTGGCAGGAAAGTTGAAAGGGGAAAACGTCAGCTGGGCGCGGGATAGTATGGGTTCCGATATTTGAAAAGAAAAAAAAAACAGTCAAGTGTCCGAACGCCATAGTACCATCTCTCCCAATCTTCATCGGTTCCATACATTGAGGGAAAGGTATTTGCACATAAAAATCACTGCGATTTTTATGATGGGCATAGTAGATTGAGCGATTGGGGGGGGGGGGGGGTGTATCCGGCATCTCTACATCTAAAGGGGGTGCGGAGATCTTTAAACAATTTTAGCGCTGCTCCCTTGAAGGTGTTGGGGCGATGTTCCTCTCCCCCTCCAATAGTTATTTGTCAAGGCTATTACGCTCGCTCCAAAGCTCCAGTTCCTGGCGTGAACTGCTTTTGCTAGGTTATTCTGTGAATAGTGCTTGCAAAGCTTTTGGTGTTTTAGTGTAGGGAAGTATTAAGGCGCTGTGAATAAACACATCGGGTGTCTTCCACAGCCTGATTCATTGCACCCAGACTGTGTAAACCCATCACATGACTGAATAGATAGTCCATAGTACAGTAAGCATAGCTGGCTACTGGTATCCTTGATACTCCGCGTGTTCTATCTGGCATACTGCGAGAGAATTTAATATCCATTCTAATCTACCAAACCCTCTTCTAACAGCCCCCTCACCCCAACAACCCACCCGGGATTCCAATTCAAGACTCGTGTTCCCCTTTCCGCCTCCCCTCTCCCCTCCCTCGGCTGATTGAATTATCCTCACTTTGCCCATTTTCCCCACGTTACCTTACATCGCAAACCCAATATTATCAAAATCCGGAGAACAAGCGCGCCAGGCCATCCCCTCGTAAATTTCAGAAAACATCGAGGGGCGGGGTTGTCTAGGAGTGCACTGCCTAGGGTTGCGGTGTTAGGAAAGGAGGGAGGGAGGCAAAATTGGATATCCGATATATAGTAATAATAAAAAACTCTCAACGTGCTCACCATAAACGAATGCTGTGCTCTGCTTGTCTAAATATTGGATCTGTTATTAAGCCTAGGTATTCTAGGGGAGAGAGTTCAAGGCTCTAGGAATTTGAGGGGTTACTTAGCATGATGGGTATTGGGATTAATGGTGGACACAGCTGGCAGTGTGCTGGCTCTATTGGTACCTGTGCTGGTCGCGGTTTGGTGCCTGGTGGATACGGATGGTAAGTATATTACGGTTGTGAACTAGCCCCACATGGAACCTTTTGGCGACGCTGCCATCGCTGAAGTCCGTTTCGTAGGGCTAGCTTGGTCGCGTTGGTATTCTGGCATGATGCAATCACAAGGAATCACTCGTTGAATCCCTTTCGGCATCCAGACTGTTATCATTCACCGTGACCACCACATTCGCTCTCCTCACCACCTCTTTCCCTAACCTCCACTCAACTTCCCAGTCTAATAAATATACCTAAAATTGATCTACCCATTCATCCAATCAGCCCTCCCCCTCCAACCGAACTCGATCATGATGAGCAAGAGGACTTACGTTCTCCTTATCCGTCAAGTCTTCGAACGCGGTCGCATCCAGATCTCGCTCAACGCCCTCCTGTAGTTTGTCCCTGCGCTTGTTCTCGCTAGAAAGAAGGAAGCGTAGTACTAGGATCACTACCACCTCTACCAGGTGGCAGAATATCATCGACGAGATGCCGAGGGTGTATGTTGGCCCTTGGTCGGTTTTGTAGAAGAAGGGGCCGGCGATGTTGCCCACTGTTCCGGGTTAGTACTGGTACTAGGGCTCCGAGAGGGAGGGGGGGGCACCGCAGTAGCCGAGGAAGAGAATGGCATTTGCTACCACCTTCTTGGTGTGGCTGGGTGGCGCAGATCAGCAAGCTGCTCTCCTCTGCGGCGCAGTGCCGGTGCCTTGCTATATTGTAGTATAGGAGTAGACATACCCAGCGACATTCCCAATCTGCAAAGAAAGTATCAAAACAAACGCCGCATTGTATGGACCCGTTAGCTATCCCCCACATAGTCAATTCCCAGAATCCACACTAGTAAAGACTATGCATTTCAATGGATAACGCACATAATAACAAATCAACCTCCAAATACGGTGCTCCTGCGGAACACACATGAGCCCGAATGCGCCAGCGATGTTCGGGATGATGAATGCGACGACCATATAACAGCGATTGTTGGGCGGCAGGCGGTCGTTCACGAACACGCACGCAAGGATCGATAAGGAGATAAAAATTCCATAAGGGATTTGCAGGAGGGTTGTTGCAACTTGTAGTAATCAGCGTTGGCCAACCAAAAAGCCCGGTGTCGGGACTGGTAAATATGGGCGGGACTTACGGGTTGAAAACTCGAAACCTTGTATTATAAGCGTTCCTGTATATCGAAAACAGAGGATTAGGTTGTGCTTCTAATGCCCCTACTTCTCCCACACCCATCGAATCACCTGTGTAGGTGACCGGTGTCATACCAAAGTTACTGATCCCACCATTCGGAACATTACACACGAGCCCAAGAAAAAAGAACAAGTAAACTTTCACATCGCAAAAAGCCTCCATAATCTGATATGGCTTGAGGGTCTTGTTTTCAATTCCCGTTTGGTCGTCCCGAAGCCTCTCGACGGCCATCCTCCGCTCCTCTTCGGTCAGGAACCTTGCCGAGACCGGCGAGTCGGGGAGGAAGATGAACATTACGACTCCCCAAAGTGCACATAAGGCTCTGTATCAGGTTAAAATCCCGCACATGTGATTCCACACGCGAGTTGAGCCCCATTGCGGGGAAGGATGGAGGGATGGAAGGGGGAAGGGGGGGTTCGTGTTACCCAATGATCAAGAACTCATATTTCCAACTCGCAAGCGCTCCCTTGATGTGGCCGATTCCGTAACCCAGTAACCCGCCGCCCGCAATTCCTAGGCCGTTGGCCGCGTACCAGATGCCTATACGGATCGGCTGCTGATGGCGAGTATCTAAAAAATTCGTTTGTATTCAGTCAGGGCCGGCTTATTCTGACTGTGTGTGTGCACACTTCCTCCCCTTTCCGTGCGTTTTGCCGCACGTTTGGGAAAGTGCACAGAAGTAGCAATGTAGAGAGGGATGGGGGATCATACACCACATGGAGGTGATTAACATAAAGGCGGGATCAGCACAGGCTTCTGCCGCACCGCTAAGGACACGTAGGATAGCCAGGCTGGCGAAATTCTTGCATGCAGCCTGCCACACTGATTGGTTTCGTTTGAGCAAGTTAGTAGAAAGGTCGCTCTGGCGGACCGCGTGAATCAAAGGCGCGCGATCCTGGTGTTCTATGTGGAGATGGAGAAGTAAAGGGTCTTACTCAAGAAGAACCCCCACATGAAAATGTTGAACCCGAGATACTTGCCTACCTGTGAAAAGCAATTGGCCCCAGTGGCCGATGTCAGCCATCACTCTTTGACATATAGTGCCTCAGCGGACTCTTAAACCAGCCGGCCGACCGGCAGGAGCATCGTCATCGTCATCATCATCCCCCGTGTGCGCATCGAAAGGGGTAAATAAATAATAATAATAAAAAAGCCGCCACAGAAGCACAAACATACCGGTAAACCCTGCAGCAAGAGGTTCGTCGGAAGTGCCCAGCCTTGATATCACATCGTACATTCCCCCTGTCAGCCTCCTATATTTCTCTCCCTCCCTTGAGTCCGCGAGCGTGCATATATAGGACTAGACCCACATAGGAAGCCGAAGTAGAACAGCGATGACAACCAGTTATATTGTGTCCCACGAAGATGCAAGTCGTCCTGAATTCCAAATAGCGCTGCGTATGAAAGTGTGGTTTTCTGTGATTTGAGCACAGATTTGCTCAGGTTAACCGTGGTACATTACTGTGCAGATTATGTGGGGTATGTTGGTTATCTGGATGAAGTGGGGAAGGAAAAAATGTCTCACATCAATGTAAAAGAAGCAGTAGCAAACCGCGATCCTGTTGATATCGGGAGGATCTGATTAGCCTCTGCTCCCCGGCTCTCCCTCCTTTCGTTCTTTGTTTCTTCAAGCCATATCACATTTGAGTAAGAGGGGAGTCATTTGACTGACTGTGGTAGAATCATTTTATCAATCTTCCATACCAATGCTCTCTCCTTCTCCGGATCCATTGGGCCGTGAGGCTCCTCCGCATTTCTGAATAGTGCCATGGCTGCATCTTCTTTCCGTGGGCCAGTAGACGACCCATATCTACGACCACCCCCTTCTTCTTCTGCCCCCTCCACATGCGAAGTTGATCCAGTGTCGCCGGCCTTCATGTTTCTTTATTGGTTGTTTGTCTCGTTTCTTTTTTCTCCTTTTTGCTTTTGCCCCCGGTGTTGGTTTTAAATAGTGCCTGTGGGGTTGTTTGTGGGGTAGAAGTACGATTCGTGTGAACGTCAGCACGGTCCCGTCTTCAAATAGAATGTCATGAAGCCGTAATCGGTGGGGGGGGGGGGTGGGGGGCAAGCTAAGGTAGGTACATTATGCTATCTGTAAGCTGGATGTTTGGACAGAGCTAACGACAAGTAGAAAGGGACTTATCATACCTGATACGGATTATTGACAGGCTTATCGTGAGATACTACCAGCATACTCCATTTAACAAAAACTACTCCCCAACGAACGCATAGCCTTCATCGAAAGAGTAGCCATCTATTCATTGCATCGACTGCTAGCGCTAACAGGGTATTGGAAAAATATTTGGAAATAATCGTGGAAATTCCTGATCGCAGGCGAGACGAGATTTTTTTGCAACTTTCGTTCACGGTCGGAAGCATTGGCTTTTGTGGTGGATCAATCGAGCCGGAAGTATGCCTCACCCTCCACGCTTCCTCCCAGGTGTAACCAAGCCCACTAGCTAAAAATTACCGGAAGCGGGAGCGATAAGCTCCCCGGGCTAGAACTGAAAAATACATAATAATAGTATTATATATATATATTTTGCTTTTTCCCTAATAAATTTAGTAAACGCTGGCGGAACCATCCTTACCACCAGTATCCCATCCACTGGCCATGGCGGCTGATAAGGTCTTCAACCCTAACTTACTCGAGTACCGTAGAGTATAATAAAGTTACCACCGATTGCGGGTACTGTACGAGTATAGTGATTGTGATTTCGCTGTTATCCATAACTTATGATACTTGTAACTTGATCGCTAAAAAGCACGAGGGTCTATAAGTGACTATTTTTTTTTGATTTTTTTTTTTACTTGTCCAATTTGGAACTGAGCGACTTGGACTAAAGAACCTTCACCCCGGTCCTCCGCATTTAGGGACCCAACCGTTGACTGCCCCGAGCGTAGCTTCCATGAGAGATTGTGCTGCATCATCAAAGCTTCCTCCTCCGTCTTCAATATCCTGCCGCCGTGTTGAAATCGTCCGACAATTCATAAAAGCACTACCCTTGAGGCTCTTCTTCCATTAGAGTCACCGCAATGATCGGTTCAATCATAATCGCCCCCGCCAGACCCCAACAGATAGATAGGTACGGTGCTCGAGAACTGTGCTGTACTGTGCTCACCCGGTACAATTCGTCCAGGCTGGGAAGGGCAGGAGAAAATTAAATCAAGTCGGTGCGCGCGGACTATTGTGCAATTAGGGCATGATGAATTAGGAGTAAGAGTGGTGAGCATATACAGCATAGGCGACGGCTAGGACACTTGTCAGTGTACTTGTCAATCTCCCATGCGCGCCTTCCGTTCGTCTCCAATAGAGTAACGGTAATGTACGAGTAATTTTGCGACGCCTGCGACACCGTCGCTCACGTGCAACTGCTTGGTCCCTTCGGACTCGCGACGCCTGCGACGCCTGTTCGGTACTGTACCGCCCGCACCAATTCGAGAAGCCACAGCTGTGCCTTCATGTCTACGACTCAAATAACCTGGAGGCTTCAAGCCAGAGTCGGCCACGTCGGTCGTTACCCCGCAGACAAACGCAAAAACCCTTCGATTCCTAGCCGCAGGTAGATCCAACCAACGCCTACCCAGTAGACGAACTTGGAAAAAAAAAAACAGGTTTGCTAGCAATTGCGGCGACACAGAGCACAGTTGCTCAATTAAGCTGGCGCAACCCGGAAAATACCCTTCCCGCCAATTGCCTCGGCCGTGGGCCAATCCATATTCTTTTAAGCCGCATTTTCATAAAACGACAGAGATAGGGCCAGGAGAAACAGCCCAGAGTCTCTGTAATTTATATACCTTCAGGCTCGAAGACCCTCCGCCCCTTGCACTGATCCACGAGAAAGCTGCCAATCTCAGTTTGTTTTCTCCTCCGACCTTAGAAAATATGGCCACACCTGCCCCCACACACAGGCTACTGAGACACAACTCGGGCGAGTCGGTACAGTCCCAAGAATCATGTGAGTCGAGAAACCCTAACCCTAATCATTGGACTTAATTGCAAGGCTTCAGCTTTTGCTCACTTGTTGAAACCTTGTTCTAGGGCGGAAACTCATCCAGCCGACAGTCAGCTACGCCGCTAACCCAATGGAACAGTTCTTGGGAGAAAGGCACCGCCTGGAACGTTACGCTATTCCCAACACACCCCTTGAGCACTGCAATTTCCCTCCACCGCCCCGCTCCGACCCATCTGTCGCTGAAGCGGACTATGGCAGTTCGACAGCCCACCAATCCGATCGAATGACTCGATACGAGGGGTCTAACTACACCACCTCCTCGATGCTGACCCTGGACAGTTCCTCAACTCCGCTATCGAGTCCCACCCCTTCGACCAGTTCTTATCCACAGATGTACGCGCTCCAGGAGGATTCCACGGGGATTCTGTATACCCTCCAGCCAGTCAGAACACCCCTCAGAACCGCGACACGGCCCGATGGAACACATCCGTGTCTTTTCTTTTTCTGTGGGTGCGGCGAGGCCTTCGACCAAGAAGAGGACTGGGTGCCCCACGTCAAATCCCACTTTTCAGCCCATGAAATCTCACCTCCATCCTCCTTCACATGCTCAGTCTGTGGGGCACCCTATAAAACAAACGATCCTTCTTCCAACTGGGAACAATTCCTTAAACACACGTTTGGCCACTTTAGGGAAGGGCTAGTGCGGGATATACGACCCCACCTCGACTTTGTCGAACACTGCCGCAATGAGAGCATGATTTCGGAATTCACATGCACCCGGTTCGAGGGCTATCAGCCGGCAAGTACCGAAGACGACCGAACACCTAGAAGCAGGAGGGGACCACAGAGAGAAAACGACATTGCTCAAGTCCGTTTTCCCAGTACCTGGCCCTCTGAAGGTCGGTCTCAACCGGCAGCTACCGTAGTGGTCCACCGCAGCGGACAGGGAAGGAGCGGGCGCTCTTGAACACCCGGCCCAGGCGGGACAGCGCCCAAGTTCATGGTAACTTGACTTCATTTTATTTATTTTTCTTGTGTTTTTTTTTGAGTTGGTGTGCAGGGCGTTGGGTTTCTTTTGAACGACTCTCCCTTATCACTCATTGATCATGAGGCGCGAGAAATTGTTATCCGTATTATCTCTACTACCGTTATTATTGTCATGACCGTTCATGAATTTCTTTGGTTGATCCAATCATCTTTTCCGTCTTATACTTGGCTTCGCTTTCTTGTATCTCCCGTCGAGCCCGTCGGATTATTGATGGATATTTGGGGGGAGGGGGGGGGGGGGGTGGCGGCACAAGTATCAGAGGGTGCTTCGCAGGCAACAAACTCTTCCTATAACAAACAATTTCAGCTCAATCTTCATCTCTTTTCCCAACCTCTCACCTTATTCTCATGCAAGAATCTGAATATCTCTCCCCATCCGTGCCTAGCCAACCGAAAGTAAGAAACGAGGATCCTTCAATTTGGAGAAGCACGGTGTAGTGTGCAGGCGCGGGAGTAGGCGGGGCTTAAGTACAGAAAATCACCCTCCCTCCAAAGCAGATCCGTGCGTGCAGTGGGAGGTCTTAGGGCGGACGTACACTGTTGCCTTAAAGGTGGAGCAACACACTAACCCTTGGCCAGTCGCACAGCCGTTTCCGAATCTCAAATCTAGCCAATGCCGACCGTAAGCAAGTTTCAGCAAACACAAGTCTATCATATCCTCGACCCTGCTTCTCGCAACGATCCCGCCACCGTGCAGGGTCCCCAATTCCCGGCGCCGGGCCCCTTGACTCGACCCGCGGTCCCTGCCGGTATCCAACTAGCAGCGACGAAACTAGGCCAATGAGGAACAGGGATCGGCACCGCGTAATTTTTTGTTACCCTACCGGTGCCCTGATAGCTTCCCTTTCGCTTACCAAACACCCCTGTTCTCACCCGCCCTGTTTCGTCCGAGGCGTGGGTGGGGGCGTAACAGGACGGTAGCCCATGTGTGTTGCTGAGGCTTGTCATAGGCGGTCACTCGCTTATCGATCAGCCTGAAATTGAAATCGAAGGCGACCGGTGCCCCGTTACTCGAACCGGCGAAAAAATTCCTTCACCAAATCACACAGCTCGATAGGGATTACAGTATGCTCGAGCCGGAAGCGACGGGCGGCGTTCTTAAGGCAAGGAAAAGATAATCATTGGGAAGGGGGATGGACTTCATCCTAAGCGGCAGCCGGTCTGCTTATATACCGCTGCGAAGGCACGCTCGAGTCAGGCAGGCACGGTGGCGTATAAGCTATGGCACCCTGCCGGTCCCGTATCTTGATTACCGCTATCCCTCCCCCCTCCCGCCTAATAAAGTGCCCGGGACCAAGTATATGCTAGAACGTGGCTTCACATCCCTACGTCACGCGGGGGGGAGAAAGGCAACAATTTTTTCCACAGCCGGAGGACAATACCGGCCCTCGTGCATGCTGTACACTTGCTGCTCCTCCCAGCTGCATCCCATAGAAAAATACCAGGTAGGGACACCTCCGCGACCGCACGCCCGACTGAGTAAATATAGCAATAATAGGAAACCCAGAGTATGGTAACTTCTGATATGATACAAAACTTGGTTGAATGATATTGCAACACCCTTTTACGTGTGAAGGGTTAGGGCTACACAACCCTGGGATCCCACTCTGTATCCACACCAGTCTACCCATCAGCCCCAAGGACCTAAGTACATCCGCCCAGTATATCTCCCGAGCTGACCAGTTTGAGCGAAGCTTCCGCCTGGATGCTTCCATCTGGTTCCTCATTTGCATCATGAACGACCACTAGGCCAGCCTTGAACCCCCCAACGCCGTCCCCACCGCTGCTATCCCATCGGTGTTTATCACCCTACCGGTATCAACCATCCCAGCCCGGATCGAGAGAGTCATGACGTACCCGTGCGGTGGTGCACGTCTATAGGCGTTGTAGGCACTAAGGCCTTGGCAAGAAACCAAGATGAAACCCTCCGTGGCTGTTTTTCCATACACCAATTACTCCTGCAACGTCCGCGAAGAGCTTGCCTTTAATCCAACCTACCAACAAGCCTGAGGCTGTTTAATTGGGCTCCACGTCAAATCGCCAGTGTCCGAACGGTTCTTCACCAACGGGAATATAATCGTTTTGGTTGTCAGCCATGCAATCCTCAACCTACCCACCACTGCCACCCTGAAAGCGACGGACGAGGGTTGTCTGCGGGCTTCCACTTGGCGTAGAGGTTAACTCAAACTGAAGGTATTCGGAAGTTTTAGAATTAACGAATATGTATTGTCTGTCTGTCTTAGGGGATTGGTAGACGCAGGAACCATATACTTCGTAATATTCAACTGCGGTGGATTGTGATCCACCGGAGATGGAAACAAATTCGCCTGAGGGAGGTATTTCTAACATTCTATGTCACAATCAGTCGATTTTCTAAGATTCGAGTCATCGAACTCTCCCCTAACTTCCTAATTCCCAATTTCTCGAGATACGTACCAAATTGTGTTATCTCCTCTGCAGGCTGCAACCGCCAAGTCCGCCGTCCTATTCCCAACCTTCACCCCGTACAAAACATCCACGTAATTCGGGCCCCCCAACTAGAAACGTCCGTAAAATCTCTCCCTTAATGTCAAAAACCCCAAAGCCCACACCAAGTTTGCTCTTTGTGGCAGTAATAATCCTGCTACTCCCGCCTTTATTCTTTCCAGGGGCCATGCATATGGCGGGATCATCTCTATCCCCGCCGTTTTGGCCGGTTCCGTAGCCAACTTCAATCAGGAAGGAGCAATCAGGTCCACCCCATGGATCCCTCCGTTTACATCGGCTTGATGCTACCCACCTCCCATACAAGGAACAACCGTTTGCGCAGCTCATTGTGGAACAAGAAGATCCTTTAAGACCACTGAAACAAGAACACGATGCGGAAGATGTACAGTAACCCAGGGCCGGGTGGTCACGGACCTGCGGGCAAGGACTGGGTTGGCTCTCGGAGTGCAGGGTTTCTCAGGATTGTTTGCTGGGATCGAAAGATGTGTTCAGTTCGACGGATAGCGCAGTTGGCAGCGGGGTCAATGAACTTATCCCGAAAGCTCTACCCGAGCCGATCTCCATAGCGTAGGAAGTGGCACCCTCCGTGTATGCGCCGGCTTCGGATCGGTAACTTGCTATGTCTCCTAGTTCTGGCTCTTCCACAGAAACTACCGTTGCTAACAGAGTAAGGTTAACGGTCGGGTAAAGATATATCTCCAGGGGTTCCGGGCGAGCTAAAAGTAAGCGAGAATCATATACTGTATTATTGTTTCCAATATATAGGGACAGCCTACTATCTCGTCGGAAGGTTTGCCCAGCTGGCCTATCCGTCCTGGAGGAGATCTCGATTCTGACGCTGGGAAGGAATAGATAGCCGCCATTACCCCCACCAAAGAAAACCGTACCGGTGGAAGAGTTTCTGCAAGTCGATGCTTCGATCGGAACTCCGAAAGGTTGGGCCTGAGTTGCACACGATGCTTAGTTCTCCAAGGTGAGCCCAGTTCTTGTCGGAAAAGCGGTCATTACCCCCGAAACCCGACCCAGAGCGGCATTGCAGCGCCTTCGCCAAACAGATAAAAATGCTGCTTCTTACCCCCGCCCTTCCAAAAACACCAACTAGAGTAATCCCCCCAAATCTTGATCTCCCCATTAACTTTTTTCCCGCCCTCTTCGAAAAGCCTTAAGATTGAATTGGAAACGCTGAGTGTAACAATCAATTCATCGTAGTCCCCAAGGGAGTAGATAACCTCAAGAAGCTTCGCCCACCTAGCATCCTTCCTCCCGGCCTCCTTGAATTCTCCGTTCCCAAAATCGTAGATGGCGAACTCACCCGTAGGTCCACCATCATTCCCAACGAGAGGGGGATCATCAGAGCAGGAAAAAAACCGGTTTATCCGAATCGATCGCGGGAGTAGCTTTATTGACCGGAAACATAACTTTTATTGCCAAACTGTCAGCGAAAAAGGCAGCCGTGGTCAGGAACTCCATCTTTCTCAATTGTAGGAGGTTAAAGGGCGCAGAGGACGAGATAGCCTCCACCAAGACAGCAGACTTCATACACCCGCAAGGACTGGAGCAAGCATCTATCTACGAATGCTTGCGTGACAGCATTCGACAAACACAGCACGGTTGATCACCCGCCCCAGGGCACAACGGCCTTTCCCTCCCATAATCGTCCCTAATAGCTGAGGCAGATATTAGATCTCGGCAGAAAGTATGGGGCAAATCACTGGCTATCCGGGGATGGATTCACTTGAGGTTGGACAAGGGCAGGCTGTGATCCGGAGTAGGCTACAAGGGTTAGACGGATTAATTTTTCACCATTGCCGGAGCACATTCAACTAGAACAGAGTGACGAAGGTTTTCAAGGGGTAATCGGGAGGATTGCACGAGTAATAGGGTTACCTGGGGCTTGTGGGGGTACTTGTGTCGCAATATCATAAGGCATGCCGGTATCATAATAATTATTATTATTATGATAAATACTTTACGACCTTGGTATTACTAGCTCTCATATACTTTATTACTTAAGACCGGTGGGGGTTGGTTTAAAGCACTAACTCACCTTCAAGGTCCCCGTGCACATTTGCCCCACGTATTGGACACCATACTACCGTAGTCTCTCGTGAAACCCACTACCACCTCCATCCCTGTGATCTCCAGATTCAGAAGCAAAGACTTCCGAGAGGAATTAATGCCGCCTACCACCGTCAGGAAGTGCTAGAGCTCATCAACCAGTATTCGCAATTCCGTTGACTTGTCAAACCAAAACGTATCCTGCGCTGATGTGCTGATCTCCGCCGACGATCCGACAGTGTATCTCACGAAATTTTATGGAAAAATATAAAGTTCGCTATAGAAACGCATTCCAATGAGCGCCCTTCGAGTGATACCACATGATTTCTCTATCAGTTCAACTCCCTCGCAGAAGGCACAAAAATGTTTTCTTAGCCCTAAATCCCTACCTATTCTCCCGATCCAGATCCCCATTTTTTCTCCATTGAAAGTGCCAACACTTTCGGTGGCCCCGCCTATATAAAGGACCCCTCCCCGCTCCAGTCCTTCCTTCTTCTTATCAACAACCATCTTCCTCCACCTTCACAAACACAAACATGATTTTTGATGCTTCTTATTTCGTTCGACTTTTGTTCTTGGATATTTTGCTAATATGTTCAAGGGTGCGGGTCTGGGGGGGGCTCGGGTCCGTGACTAAGGCGAAGTTCGAACCCCCTTGGTTTTGTTTCTCCCATTGGAGACTAGCTAACTTGACTCATAAGGATACCCGACTCTGCTTTAGAGGTTTAGGAGGTAGCTAATGGTACAGTAGATATTGTGAGTGCCTCTTTTAATACATTCTTTCTTTCCACAACCCCTTGAGGATCTAGTTTTTTTTTTCCCTACTGAGCTAGAAAGGTGATACAGAAAACTTTGTTTACCTTCCAGTCAATAAAATGCTGGTCTAATATACTGGACATCAATAAGCTATCAAGCCACCATGCTTGTGACTAACTTTACTGGAAACAATAGGAACAGTATCAGTTCAATGATATCTCCTTAGTCAGGAATGACCTCCTTGAATTGGCTGCCAGGAGAGATCCCATGCGGGAGTTTAAAGCCATCAACACAGACTAAGTTATTCATCATCTCATCATCGAGCTTATCGCATTATCACAACTATCACCACTTTCCCACTTGGCCTTAATGGCTACTCCAACGGACACTTGACTGTCAGATGTAACCTCTAACCAGAGTTCATACTAGTGATATACTCGGGAATGGCGATACTGAGACTATAGCCCACGCAACGTCCCAGAATATAATCGAGACTGCCATAATGACAATAAATATTAGGGCCCTGAGTGCCGCCACAGCGGCTCTCCAAGGAGGTATGACTGATCAGGAAGTACCTCGCACAGAGAAGTAATCCCTTCAACCCTCTTCCCCTTTCTTGTCTTGTCTTTTCTTTTCTTTTCCTTTCTTTTCCTAGTTATCACCTTATTCCCAACATTGTGTTTGTATGTGTCTGCGATGGATATGGTTAGTATGGCTGTCATTCTTAATGACTACATTAATCTCCAATGGAGAATCCTTTTTATAATTCCTCACCCGGTTCAACATCCATTACCTGGGCTATATGGTAAAAGGTTACATATATTAGTTTAGAAGCTTAGAAATTTCAAAATTAAAACGATGGTCCCGCCCATTACTCTCTCGTTCAGATGTATATCGTGTTATATATATGATCCACCCAAAACGCGATCCTATCGATCCAATCAGTCCACAAAATTTTGCCGTCGCTTCCTTCCTTCCATTCTGCCTTGGCCCCTCTCTCCTCCGGTAGTAATGAGGTCCCCTTAAAACTGAAATGTGCCGCGCATGGGTCGTATCGACGAAGGGGTGTTTGCATAGGCCAAATTCCGATGGGTATCAAAAAGAACCGCGCGCGGGGAGGGGGGGGATGGGCAGACAACAAAATCACGAGAATTTTTGCTTGGTTTGTACGTATGTGGTTCATCCTCAATTGCCAACTGGACATCCGGGTCGCTTGACAGCGTCTTTTCGTCGTTATGTGTATCATGCTCCACATATTTAGTATGCCTCAGGTAAATGGTTATTGTGTGTAAACTTCCTGACGATTCCACAGCAGGCCATAAGACCACATGAACTCTTCCCTTAATTTTGCTTATGAACCCTACATGGATGGCCACTCTCATGCTGCTCACTTCCGGAATAATCGAGTGGTGACTTGTGTCTCCGACAGAGAGTGTTTAGTTGTCAGTCACCACCATCTAGTCCACTCGGGATATTCTTATCTCGAATCACAGAAATGGCCCGGCGCATCCTATCCGCGCCCAAGATTAGCTAGGAGCACCCTACCCAAGACATATTGCTCAAGAAATTCCCCCGCGTGGTTAATACCACCACTCTAGTAGCATGCTAGCAACATGATGTCACCGGAACCGGTGCAACTCGTTATTATATCAGGGAAGGGAAGAAGTTTATCGCTAATCTTTAGTACAAAGTTATAAAGCATCTATCTAATCGGCTACTCGAACAGTCCGGAAGGTGCCTTAAGACATCAGTTGCAGATTACAGCATCGTGAATACTCGACATGCAATAAATAAAACCCAAACACTGGCCACCGCATCCACCAAAATTAGGAGAAAGAAACCCCCAGCCACTATTCTACCTCCCTCTCTACGCATCCAAAGATAACCTCTAGCCTAGCACTCATAAGCTCCGGAAACCGGCTTCCTCCAGTCTCCAAGAATCCCGTTAGACCGTGTGAGGGCTCAGCGAGGCGTGGCACGGCTTGGCTCCCTACTGTCGTTGACCGTAGGCAATCTTTGCTGCCAAATATCGCCAAGCCTCGCTGAGCCCTCACACGGTCTACTCCAACTTCCAGGCTTTGAATAAATAAGCAGTCAAAGGTATTATTGTACCGTTGTCAAGTACCATTGCTAAAAGGGTTAGCAATGTATAATGCAGTGCACGTCAATCGATAGATGCTTGCTAGAAAGGGAAGAATAAATCGTGAGGATTATTCGAGAATTCCACAGACATTGAGGCCATGTGTTCTCTTCCATATTAGTCTGTACTATAGAGCGGCATTAAGCTAGTGAGCCATGATAGCACATCTTGCCAGATTTTCCCTTTTGCTGAGCCGCATTCGGAGGTTTTATTTTGTTGAAAGTTGTGCTGTGCGGATTTGTAGAAACATCCATAGACTAGCCGGTTCACGTCCTGCTCTTTTTATGGGTTCGGGCGCTATTCCAAAAGAGGTGTTCAAACTTGGTGCGGAGACACGAGTACGTGTCTTTGTACGATATATCTAATAGTCTTTTTCCTGACCTTCTTCCGTACCTCTTCCTCTTCTCTCCTGGCCCTCCTCCGTACTCCTCTTCCTCTGCTCTCCTGACACTTTCTCTTTCACTGCCAAATTCCTTCTATCATTATTTACATTCCTTTTTTTTCTTCACTTGTTAATCTGGCTCTGCCTGTTTCGCTCCCAAGTCTTTAACCAATATACTATAAGTATGTTTCGTGGTAGCCACAACGCGGGGCCGAGCACACCAGGAGGGATCCGAGCTGGTGGCGACAGGGGTGGTGCCGGCCTGCAGCCAATGCACACCACCCATCATGATTACGCTATGTACAGGTAGAGTTCATTACAGTGCCTCCGGGGCCCCGCTACCGCTCCCACCAAATTATATAGCTGGGAACACAATTGGGGTCGCCCGGTAGCCCCCGTGCGGGGGGCGGGGCGGGGAGGGGGGAGTTTTGCGGCGCCCTGTGGCCGTGGGGGGCAGGGAGAACTTGTGGAAACCCGCCCCGCCCCGCCCCGTAACGAACACTATGTACAGGGCACCGCCACTTCAATTGCTTGGAAAAAGATGTGCTTTTAAAGCAGACCCCACTCCTCCATGGTGTTTCATCCCAAAATTCCTAACAACACTGATCCATTCCCCACCAGGAAAACTCACTTCCGCTTCTATTTCCATGCCGAAGTATTTACCGCCTGAACTATACCCTACCGCTAATTCGGCAAAGGAGTTATTCCTGCTGGATACCTTAACAGCAGAAGTGATACTCACTCTGTAAGAAGAGAACGAAGGTCGACTAGACTGGGCTGAAGTTTCCCCAGAAGATGTGGACAGGTGGGAGAGTCTGCATCCGGAAGTTATAGAAAATGATGAGATCCGCCAGGAATACAATTTCTTGAACGGAAGGTTTATAATTAAATGCGCTCCCACACCCACCCACGAGTCATTTTCCCAGTTTTTTTCGGACACTCTTTTTGGATATCTAAGCAAGTTATAAGGGGAGGATACCATAGACATGGTTAGAATTGGTTCTGGAATGGGTATGTGACCAAACATGTTTTGTTGCTACTTTATCTAATTGCATCTAGGTTTTGAAAACTTCAAGGTCACAGGCAATTTTTGCAGCAAATCGAAGAAAATTCCGGATGCCCATATAACGCTAC